CCTTTCTAACAACCAGTGAAGTTTCAACAGATTTGGCCACTGGAGGGTGCTATTCATAAAAAAAATCATATATTATTACATGATATAAACATATTATTACTATTTTTGACCCAAGCTCTGTATGAATCTTATGTAGTACAGTATGCCAAACAATTTTACCACTGCATGTTTATTATAAAAATGCATAGGTTTTTTGTAATCGTTAACTCTTTGAAAACCATGCTTTTCGAACTAGTGTCTGAGTTTTGATCCAAACTTCTCGAATTTGGTCTAGAAATACTCTGTGGCCTCTCTAGGTAAATAATTATCAAAAAAATATTGACTTTTTCACTCAACCTGGTGTTGCTCCTTCAATACATCACTGCGGCCATGGCATAGCCAGAATGATTTGTTATAACTCATCAGTCTTTGGTTGTATCATCTCAAAACTTTGAGCACTTATATATACTGAGACTCAGACAGGGTGTGCAAAATTTGGTCCATATATGACCTTTAGAGGGCGCCTTAGCTGTCAAAAACCTCAAAAATCATTAAAGATGCTATTACAGTGTTATTACAAAGTCTACAGATAAACACATGGTGCCATTTGATTCAGTTCACTGACCTGAATAACTTTGTAATTACATGTTATGTCAAATATTTCACTCCTTGAGTAGTATTTTGAATTATTCCTTCAACAATTACAGCTTATTATACTAAGGTCAAAAGGTCAATCAGAACATAACTCAGTGAACAGCTTTGATCAAGTTCCCTGATCAATTATCATAACATGTGGAGACCTTTTGACCAATGCTAAACCACTTTCAGTGAGCTCCTCTGTGCCAAAAAGGTCCCTTGTGAGTGCACTGGGTCTCATTATGGCCTGATTATCAAAGCCTTGAACATGGAGAAACAAAACCCCTTGCAAACACAACTATGACAGATATTTTACCATTACTCATGTATTTTTGACATCTATGTTGATAATCCTTTGCATGTTCTACAAACCTTTGTAGATCAGTCCATAGAAATGTAAACATATGTTGAAAGTAAAATGGTTCATGACAAATGAATGCCTTCTGATAAACTCAGACTTCATTTCAGCCTCTATGCCTATAAGGCCCAAACTGCATTAGGCCTGATTAGGCCTATTTGGCTCAAAGTGCATGAGAGCTTCTTGTGCTTATGTGTGCTTGGACCCACTCATTGCCGCTTGCGGCTATATTTTATTTATTTATTTTTTTTTTTAAAGAGCTCATATCACTTGTTTTTAAAGAACTGCACTGGCTTAAAGTTCTGCTACTAGTTTTTTAGGCTTTAAATGACCCAGCACCTGCTTCCATCACAATGTCTCTCTGTTTATGTTCCAGCACATGATCTTGGATCTGCAGATACTGGCCTTCTGCGAATATCCTCCATTAGATACAGAAAACATGGATAGGTGCCTTTCGGTTATGCTTTTAAACTATGCAACTAAATTCCACCTTTTGTTGGGCAGTCAACCTTCCACACCTTCAAGAAACATTTAATAATGTATCTCTTTAACTTAGTGTTTAATTAAAACTATTTTTCTTGGTATGTGTCTTATCTGATTTTAAATTAATAATCATAATCTCTTCTATTACTGTTAAACTTTATTATTATTTAAAAATATATATATTTTTATAATAATAATAACTAATTAAAGGACCATATCAGTCATTTTCAGGATGACTTATAGTGTGTGATTGAAGGGATTGCTTTCTTGTGACCTCATTACCATGCACACTTTAAGAATATCATTTCAAAGAAATCATTTGATTTTGATCACAGGAAGTGTGAAATTTTTCAGTGGCATGTTAGGTCAGAAAATAAGCACAGTATATGAAAACTGTGCCAAATGGTTCTAACCTTAATGCTTATGTCCGTAGATACCAAGGCACTTAACACTCACTTGTTTGGCATTTTTGCCAAACATCTGCTCTCCTAGTGTTGGATGGTAGAACAGTAGGAGCTCCCTGATTTTTTTAATTTCTCCATCTAGTTTGATATAATCTTTCTCTCACTATTATACCAAAGAAATGAGTAAGTAAAAAATTACCTGAAATTTAGTATAAAGACATAGCTTTAATATTCTTTGCCTTACTGACCTTTCCTTAGCAATTGCTTTAAGGCAGACATACTCCATCTTGGAATTGTACTGGGTACTTCTGTGACAGGTATGCTACCTTTTTGCTTTTTACCTATTAGCATTTTTACTTTTCATGGTGGTCTGCGAAAAAGACTGGAAAGTGCCAGAATCCTGATTTTATCCAGAATTCATGATTTTTGAGTGACAGCCTTTGTGTTGGAGTTTACATTATTTGTGTTCTATATACCCAAACATGTCAGTTGCCATGAAGCAGTGTGGCTGTAATGAGCTTTGAATGTTGTGTGTTTTCTGTTGAATAACAGCCTGCAAATTTTTCACTTTCTATTTATTGGCAATGGATGTTTTTTAAGGACAAGCAGTCGTCCTTAATGCTTTCTTTGTGGCTATTAGAACCACTTAAGGAGGGTGTTTTGGACAGCACATCAAAATTCTACATGTCCATGAACCCACCTCCTAATCAGTACATCAGCTTGTATGAATAGGTTAGGGTCTGAATAAGTGGTATGCATGGGCAGTCTGTTTCAGATTTAAAAAAGTAAAAAAAAAAAAAAATCTAATTGTCAATTCAAATTACGAATTTAATAAGCAATTTTTTCTCTTATTTCTAACATATGCATTCTCTGAACATCATACTCTGACAAAAGACAGTGTAGAACCTGTATCTCATTTTGGTCAGAGGTTCTAACCAGTTTAGTCCAAAGAAGGAGGCATAGCAACACTATTGCAGCCACTGATTTTGCAATAGCCAAACTTTTATTTTTGAGAAACAGTGGATAACACGTTTATTAACATTATTTGCCCTTCATCAAAAACTTGTATTTTATGTGCTAAATGAACTCTTTAGGAACATATCACATGATTCTTAGTACATTTCTACTATGAATGTGCTTATGTTTGCAGTCACAAATAGTGGAAACCACAATAACCATACTGTACAGACAAACTTTTAAAGTTCTGCAAACAACCGACAGTCTCCTCCAGTAATAACATTCAGAGTTAGACTTTAAGTTGAAGTATTTACTAAGTCATTCACTGAAAAACTGCAACATACAGGTAAAGAATATGTTACATACATGTCATTCAAGCTTCAAATGTCAGTGTTTAAGCTAGAACTGCCAGGATCCCACAACTAAATTTACTAAGATGAGTAAAATACCACAGAATTTGTTCTGCTATGTTTAAAGTGATGAAATATTGTATAGCTATACCCTGAACTGAACGTCCAGTGCCAGTAAGAACTACCAGTGCCTGTCTTTATTTTGTTTTACATCCATTTTCTTACTATACTAATAGAGCCGTCACAATCAAGAAATTGTAGCTGACGATTAATTGTCATATAAATATTTGCGATTTACAATTTAATTGTCTTTTCTTGTTCATTGTTTGCAACTTTTAAAAAACAAGCCAAAGGGGCCAAATTGACTGATTAGCCATTTTACTTTTAATGCTTTTTCCTTAGTAGCTAACACTGGTTGTACTGCACAACTGCACGCACAACTCTTAAACATGGATTTTTTTTTATAAGCCCCATGATATCTCAGTGAATGCATTTACTGCTTTTTTTTATTTACATTTATTTGCCTCATCCCAGTGCACCCCATTACGTGAAACTATGATTTGACTGGAGAATGATGCAAACTTAAATTAGAAGTTAAATTCAATGGGTGTTTGTGAGTTCCCTTGAAACACACGATCTGACCTGTATGACCGGTTGTACAGAAAACACATCCTATTAATGTCCCATTTTCTCAAATCACATAACCGGCCCGTAACTTACAATACTGGCACAGTATTTCGGTGTAAGATAACATTCATCACATAAATTGTATTATTTAGATCCGGCTCTCCCTATTTGAAAAATAATTAATAGTAAATAGTACATACAATTCAATAAATTCTATATATAAATTAATATATAAAGTTTAAAAGGCTGATAAATTAAAAATAAATGTACACAGAAGTTAAGACACAAAAATAAATAATTTCTTGTTGAAATAAATGTTTAACGTGAACAGCAAAATAGTTAAAAGGCCCTTCCCTAATTTCTATTTTTAACTGGCAACATAGGAAATGCAGCACTCAAATTATTTATGGCATGAAATTGCAGCCAAAATTAAACTGTAATTTAGCTGATTATATGTTAGGAGTGAAAACTGGCTAATTCTGATCCTGGCCAATTCCTGTCATGGACCTGTACTATCTCGTGTCCAATTATACTCTACTTAAAAAAAAAAAAATCCACAGTGTGAATCAAAAACAGTTTGGTGTCATCCCTTTTTCACTTTCTTCCACTATCTCTCATTCACTCCTTTCATTACTAAATGCTTTCTATTACTGTGATTAATATGTATTCACATTTGAACTCTCAAACATGCACACAAAGATTGTATGTGTAAGTAGCCAACTGCTTTTAGCTACTGTTGAAGAAATCTCAGAATCTCAGGCAGAAGAGTACACTAGCAAATCCACTAACTAGCACTCTCCAAATAGTCTGTTCCTATACCTTTTGTTGTTCCACTGCCAAAATGAGTGAGGGCAAAATAAGAAGAAAGGGAGAGATAGAGACACATATACAAAGGATTTGGTAGAGAGTGGCACTGAGACTGAAAATGTTGCAGTTATTTCTCTACTCTGCAGCACTCAACTACAATGTCACATAGGGTGTTGAAATGCCTGCCAGTTTGGTTCTAAGTGATGTCAAGAGACAGGTAGATTCATGGGCAGTATACCTAGTGAAATGTCACCTTTCCCCTCTGAGGAGTAAAAGAATAGGTCCAGGTGTGAAAATTATTTCTTTTTTGTATGTCCCCTACTGTACTAGTCTCTTACATAACAGGTATAATGTGTGTGTGTGTGTGTGTGTGTCTGTGTGTGTCTGTGTCCACTTCAGGTCAGAAACCTGTGCTATATGGTCACAAGGAGAGAAAAGATGAAGCACAACTTGTGTAGCCTACAGGAGAAGATCTTCAACCTGCAGATTCAGCTCCTGGAAGAGGACTTGACTGGAGGTATATATGGACACCAGCACACATACAAATACACATTCACCTTCTCTTTAGATCAGTTTTGATTCTACCTAAAGTTTGGGCATCCCCTCATGTTTCTAAGTGAAAATAAGTACACATATTCTACAAAGAATGCATTTCTGGTAATTGTAATGTACTGCTTGTGTGTCCTATGCACATTTCTTTTTTTTTATATGTTAATCTCAGCAAAAAATAGAGATTGTGCACTAAACCTTGCTGAGAAATGCCATAATAAAGTTTGTTATCATGTAGAGGATGTTTTAGCTAATTCTCACTTAGGAAATCAACAAAACATGTGATTTGACCAGGGGTATTCAAACGTGAACACGACTGTATGTATAGGTAGGACATTCTTTTTCAGGTGTTTGAAATGATCGTAACAGCTGCAGAATCAGTTTATTATAACTTAAACAAAAACATTCGGCCTCATTCTCCCACCGTTTTTAAAAAGAAATTTCTTCTTAAAACCCACTTAGGTTAGGCAGTCTTCATGAATATTCTGACATGCACCAATGTTTTCTTATTTGGGATTTGTTCTTGGGTAAGAACAGTGTCTACACTCACTCCAGAGCACAAAGATGCGAACAGTTCTGTAGTTTAAGAACACAACATTAATCTGATGTAGACATTTTCTTAGGACATTTCTCAAGAACAAATTTAAGAACAAACTTAGGAAGATATTGGTGAATAAGGGCATTGTGTTTGGCCAACTTCGGTTTGCAGCGTTTCCTATTCCTCTGCTCCCTGTGGTTAGTTCAGACTCTGACTCTGCACTTTTCTCTGTACACTCATATCTACTTACCCATTTAACTTGGGCCCTGTAGGGTAAGGAGAATAGCTCCTAAGTAGAGGAAGTAAACACAAGGCTATATTTAGCACAGTGTCAAACATACTTTCCTGTACATGCCCTTTGCTTCCAACTAGAGAGATTTTGCCTGTAGCCCCATTTAGATGTCTTGTGTGGCACACAAATTCAATCCCTCTCTTATCAGTGCAAATGCTGATTTAAATTGTCATTAGCACAGAAGGCAAGCAAGGATTCAGAATGGACAAGGTGCTGTTGTAGATAGCTCAAAGTCTTTTGACGCCCTTCTGTCTTTAGATTAGTTATTATTTTTTTCTTAGATTTCTTAGATTTTTTTTCATTGTTTTTCTGGTTGTCAAAATGATTTGAAACAAAGTGTGTCTTGGTCTTGTACAAAATTACAAGACGTTGACATGGATAAACATAACATTTTATATTAAACATGCTATTTTGTTATAAAATGCGTTATTTCTTTTTTAATGTGTTCATGCCACTTGACATTTCTGACTCATTAAATTATTTAATAAACTAAAGAAATCATGACAGAACCAGCATTCTTTGCACGTCATATGCTTAATGTAACTCTTTTAGCTGTCTAATACATACTGCTTACTGTTTCTAACCATTTTTATATAACTTTTTTCCAACATACATAAGCAGGTTAAACAGAGTTCAGAAATGGAGTAAACAGACTGTACACCTCACAGAGCAGAATTTGCACCATGAATGCAGCGCATTGTTTAAATGATTAACCTAAAATACTGTAATGATAATACAAGTCAAATCACTTAGGATTGTTCAGGCGCATCATGGTGTTCGATGGGAAAAAAATAAGCAAAAACTAAATTCAGCCACCATGCAGTGGTGTTTCTTAAAGATTGGGTTTAACTGCTAAGAGAATGAATGAACTGTTACGTAATATTTTCATTTCTGAAAAATCAATATTGAAGTATATTGAAGTATTTCAAACAATATTTCAAATGAAATAAAAACTAGAAAAACTCCGCTCTAATGACCAGAACTCAATTGTTTTTTTTCTTTTTGCTGGTTTCAGTTCTTATGTTTTACCTTTTCATTTCAACAGTTGAACAGAACAGCAAAAATTAAGAACCGTAAAACAAATAGGGATGTTACAAATTTGCTGGGAAGAAGACGTATGTCTATACTGACCCACAGTATAAAACCCAAAATCTCCAAAGATCACAGGTGGGAAACTGTAGAAATTAGTTAGGTCTTGGGGTCGGAACGTCTCCCAAACCACAATCAAGCACCACTAATATAACCACAAGTTGTTTGGTGGGGGGTCTCTCTGCTGTCAAGGACCAACAAAATCAAGCACTTACCGTTTGTCAAACATTACTGGAGTTTTCAGTGGGACCGTGTTCTATGGTCAAATGAGAACAAAATAGAGGTTTTTGGCAACAAACACCAGAGGTGGGTTTGGCGTGGACACACAAATAGCCAAGCAGAAAAGCGCCACCTGTAAAGTATCATGGTGGATCTGTGATACTTTAGGGCTGCTTTTCTTCCAAAGGCCCTTGACAATTTATTCAGTATCACAGACTCCATCAAGTACCAGCAGAAAGAAAAGCAAAAACTCACTGCCTCAGCCTGGAAGCTTAAATTGGGTTAATTGGGCTAGTTTGCATCTTCTAGCGGGACAATGATCCAATCCACACCTCAAAATCATCCACAGTGTGGACCTCAGAATCTGATGGATCTGGAGAGGTTCTGTATGGAGGAATGGTCTCAGATCCTTTGCCATATCCTCTCCAGTCTCATTAAGTATTTATAGGAGGAGACTCAGAGCTGTTATCTTTGCAAAGGGAGGTTGCAAGTATTAAATGAAGGGGTGCCAACAATTGTGGCACACACTAATTTAGGAAAAATATTTATTTCCTGATTTTTTTTTCAATCATTGCACTTCAAATAAAGGTTTGATTTTTGTTAATATTTTGAATGACAGATCAAAAGGATAAGTAATAAAGAATACATTCAGACTGCAGGAAAAAGTGACCAAAATCTTTTTTCTTATGTAACACAAATTTGTTTGTTTGTTTGTTTGTGTGTGTGTGTGTGTGCGTGCATGTGAGTGAGAGAGTCAGTGAGAACAATGCATTAAATCTGACTTTAATCCCAATTTAGACTTTTTTTTCTTATGTGGTACTGAAATCTGACACACATTCGGTATTGTGGCCTCTGTCTGAACAGTCAGAATGGAATTCATATGACTTTTACGTCAGTCCAACTCATAATTTCACATGCTCAGGAGCCTGTTACTACGGTTACGCTTCTTGTCTTCATTTTGGAGGATGAGCAACACAAGTGAGGACAGTATAAACAAATAAGCATGGCACTTTCTAATGAAAAAAATCAAGCTAACAGCTATTCAAAATCTTTTGAAAAAGGAAAGAAGCAACAGAGTCGATGAAACACTTATACATATCAAGTGTTTTATTTAGTATATATCACTATGATACTGAGTTTGTGCCTCTTTGCTAGCTTACTTTTTCACAGTAGATGAACAAAAGAAACTGAGCTTCTTTTCTTCTCAATGTCTTTTCTCTGTAAACTTTATTCAGCATGGTCATTTTTGTGTCTGCTGTTTGCCTTCAGGACTAAAGTAGCACCTCACCTCATTTTGATGATGCATAATCCTGTAAAATAAAGAACATCTGTGTTTGTTGGATGAGAAGGCTGGACTTAGCGATGTTCTTTTGCGCAAGTGAGTCAGTTTAGGTTCGTAGTCTGTTCAGATTGATCTCAGATAGAGGTCACATTAAAACGATGATGTGAATGGCCAAATTGCTCACTTAGCTGCAGTCTGTACATAGCCTGAGTACCTTCTTGTGCCACCTCATCTGCCACGATTAATATATATTGTGTTAATTCTATATACATTTTGTAATTCTATATAATTCCATAATTTATTGTGTGCTTTCAGTTGCTCCAGCTTACAACGCTCATTAATATGAAAAGCTGATAGTATTTTGTTGCCATAAAATGTCCAGCCACCCATCCCTCATGGGGCTGTATGGGGATTTTACCATAACAAAGTCTGTCTTTTCCCTAGACTGATCTGTCGTCCACTTGATAGATCTGTGATCTTGATTAACTTTTGACATTGTGTCCCTTGTAGAAAAAACACTGGAACTTGATAAGGAGTATCAAAATGGAGCGAAGGAGAAAGGAAAAGAGCGGAGGAAGAGAAGTCCAGAGAAGAAGGAGCAATGGAAGAACAACTCTCTTCTCAAACAGCTGGGTATGTCAGCCTCTTACACCATTTGCTCTTACGCCACCTTGCCTTATTCGTCCTCCATTCTCAATAGTGCAGTTTCAAAATATGGCCTGCCACTTTCTTATTGATGGTAAAATGAGTACTGGGCAAGGCTAGATAACCTGCTTCTCAAAGTTCTATGGCTGACTTGTGCAACCTTTTACAGGCTTCATATACCCGTTGGAGTTTCTGAATGAGTAATGCTCATTCTCAAAATCACCTTTAAAAACAATAATATTTACGTTTCATCATCATCACTTTTATATATGTAGCACATTTACCATGCTCAATGACATTTTACAATTGAACAACATGAACATGTTAAACAGGAGCGACACATTTAATAAAAAAAAAATTACATTACAGGCATTACATTCAAGAACAAGAGGAACACTGATAAAAGTTTCATAATTGTGTGTTGTCATGATACATTCCATGACCATTGTCCTTTTGTTCAAATACAGCTTTTATGGTTCACTTTGTGTAGCATTTATGTGTTGTTTGTTTTTAAGTTGTCATTTTTTATTTTATAAAGCAGCAGTGAGGGTGACACTGGCGGGGTTGAGGACACTGAAAGTTAGGATGAGCTCAGCCATGCGGTTCTCTGCCCTTGGCCAAAAAAATCACCCCCATAATAGTGCCCCCATAATTAAATGGCCGTGTGGAAAGTATGAAAAATTACAAACCTTCTGAATACTAAATACCAACATATTGAACAAATACTTGAGTATTTGAATTTATGACTTTTTGATTGGTGTGTGGGTGTTAGCATTAGGGATGTGCAATCCAACTTATTTTGAGTATCCGTAAGATTTAGTGAAAGGATACAACCACAACCAAAAGGAAAAAACAGCAACAAAAAGAAAAAAATGGATTTCAGCATTGTTACGCCCCTGCAGGCAGTCTAGGGTAAGTCGGGACCATAAAATATGGTTCCAATGTGAAATGTGGAGAATGAAACTGGAAGGAACACGATGGCTTAACAAAATGTTGAAAAATAAGGCTGAAATAAGACCACCAGCAATGTGATTACACTATTAACTACATTTACATAAAGGTCATAATACCTGCTGCTCACTTGAAGAGAAGTCAGCAAACTACCCTAGAACTAGTACCTACATAGACCTCAAAATACTGTAATGCTAAAAGTAACGCAAATGCCTCTTTTTTTAGTGGTGGAGTACTTAACCCAATGCCTACTGATTTTACGAGAAAATCAGCCCCAATTCCATCTTCCTGAGGCAACACAGCTCCAGTCCCAACCCTACTTGCTTCCACCTCTAATTTAAAAGGCTTTAAATTGGCATCAAGCACAGGAGCAGAATACAACAGGACTTTGTGGTTGAATGCCTCCTGACAAACAGGTTACTAGATAAATTAGGCTGAAGAGCTCAAGAAAGCAGTTACAGGTTCGGCTACAGTAGAAAAATTCTTGCAAAAAATGTGATGATAACGAACAATCCCCAAGAATCGCTGTAACTCACATCTCGTTCTGGAGAGGAAAACTGAACAATTGCCCTGACCTTCTCCTCTAGAGGGCGAACTTACCCATGACTAACTTGTTTACCCAAGCAAATTCACATTTTGCAAAGTTTAATGTAAAGTTAGCCTCTGTTAACCAGCTAAAAACTGTGACTCTTAATGGTTTCTCCAGTCCGTGGACCAAATGTCTATATCACCCAAGTAAGCAGTATAACTGGGAAGATCAGCAATTCTTGGCACATTGCCAAAAAGAGAGGGATACTTTTTAATTAAAGTTTAAATGTCCTCCTGTTATAGGTTTGGCAAATGTTCTACCAAAGCTGAATCAAGGGGATCCAGTTTTGCCAACAATTTTGAATTTGGTAATCTCGTTTCTAACAGGGTAGTGGAACAAAAAACTAGCCGTCTAAAAAAAAATCAGACAGCTTTTTAATTAAACATAATTTTTTTTGCTTACTAATTTACAGAGCATTTCTTTGTCTAGAAAAGCAAGATGCCAGTGCTCATGAAATGAACTGGCATAATCCAAAATGGCCCAAGTATTGCTTCGCACTACCATAGCAAGATAATGTTGATAAGATGATAAGTTGATAAATTCATCTTACAGACATTTAATTAACAAATGTAGTGTTTTTTAGATCCTGCTGCAGGTAAGGCCAATAACTTTCTAAAAAATGACATCTAAGTTACTATATTACCTCAGCTGTTAGTGTTAGCTAGTGCTAAACAACCAAATAAACACATAGCATAATTATTTTTAGGTACCTACATTTCACTCGTCTGCATTTTGCCATGGAAAGTTGTTATTAATCCCTGTTTTAGTAAAAGTTTCGTCACCAGTCCTGCGTTACACTGGCCCATTTTATTTTCCCGTTCAGCATTATATGGTGCATCATTTAAAGTGTAACGGAAAAATTCTAAAAAGAAGCAGGCAAATAAGAACCTGACTTCAGCTTTGTGTCAGACACAAGGTGGTTAGCACACAGGTACACGTATTTGTTAGCTGTACCGTACTATAGCTGGGACGTTGCCATCACAAATAAACTTCATCCACTCAGATGCAGCCAACAACAGAGCAGTTCCTGTGCTTAACTCTTAGCTTCAAAATAATGCTAGCAAGTCTGGTGCTTGTGAGAAAAAATGCTGCACCTTCGCAAAGGACCTTTTGAAGCCATGGGTGGAGATACTCAGACGGGGGACGGTGTAATTCTAATGAGCCTGCACTTGACATATAAAGGGGAGCCAAATCTGAATCACATGTTTTCTGACCTATGCAGCCCACAAAAAACTGCATTGTCTTATTTCACACTTGGTAGTAGGGGTGCAACGATTATTCGACTTAGTCGACTAAAATTGACGACCAAATTAGTAGGCAACTAATTTAATAGTCAGTTAGTTGGTGATGTCATTACGCATCTTTCTCACACTCACTAGGAATGCTTTGACGTTACCACTTACTGGAGAGTTGACAAAAGCGCGATGGCAGCCCCAAGAACAAAATCTTCAAAAGTTTCACGCTAAACTCAGAAAAAAGCTGGCATGGGAGCACATTCTCCATGTTGGAGCATCTGAAGATGAAAAGCTAGCTAACTGGCTAATGCTAACGTTAAAAGCCGTCTTAAGCTTTAACATCTATTTCAAAAATGCATGCTCTCGTTGGAACAGAAAAGCAAGTAACTATTATTCAAAATGACCCTGTTCACATTCCAAATAATGTTTACAGCTTAAAACAGCACTTTTGTACTAACATCGAGGCCACCGGTGCGGTCAAATTCAGCGAACATAAGAGAACATTTACAAACAGTTGCCAACAGTTTTCTGTTTTCCGTGAACGTTTTCTGTTTTCCACCACTTGCAAACAGTTTCAGGAGGTAGTTCTATGTGAAAATACAGGGCAGCTGGATGAAGAATTGCCGTTGAAATGAAATCTTTAAGTTATACAAAATCGTTCACATTTAACTATTCATAGAGAACAAGTTTGCCACAAACATTCGCCACTTTCCCATCCGCTCCATCAGAGTGCATCTTCTCTGCAGCAGGGAATATCTGCTCTCAGAGGAAAGCAGGGCTCTCACAAAAGCACGGAGACATGCTGACTTTCTTCCATTTCAATATATACCTGTGATTGTCAAATTTAGTTACAAACCCATTTCCAAAAAAGTTGGGATGCTGTGCAGAATGTAAATAAAAATAGAATGCAGTGATATGCAAATCATGTGAACCATATTTTTAAAGGATACTACAAAAATACTACAAAGACAACAAATCACATGTAGAAACTGAGAAATTTTACTGTTTTTTGAAAAATATATGGTCATTTTGAATTTGATGCTGACAACACATTCCAAAAAAGTTGGGACGGGGGCATGTTTATCACTGTGTTTCATCACCTCTTCTTTTAACAGCACTCTGTAACTGTCTGGACTGCAGACAGGCCAGTTTTGCACCCAGACTCATTTAACACTGAGCAATGCTATTGTAATACATGCAGAACGTGGTTTAGCATTGTCTTGCTGAAATAAGCAAGGGCTTCCCTGACAAAGGGGTTGTCTGGATAGCAGCATATGTTGCCAAAACCTGTATATGTTGTTCAGCATTAATGGTGCCTTCACAGATGTGCACGTCACCTATGCCATGTACAGTTATGTACAGTTCCTTTTGCGTTTTAACTTGCATTTGTGGATGCAGCGACAAACTGTGTTTTTCAGAATCGTTTCTGAGTCCATGCAGTGATTTCCACTACAGAATCATGTCTGTTTTTAATGCAGTGCCGTCTGAGGGCCCAAAGATCACGGCCAGCAAATACTGTTTTTTGGCCTTGTCCCTCACATACAGAGATTTCTCCAGATTCTATGAATCTTTCAATGTTATTTTGAACTGTAGATGTTGAAAAGCAAACATTCTTTGCTATTTTATGTTAAGAAGCGTTATTCTTGATTTGTTGCACTATTTGATTGTGCAGTCTTTGCCAGAGTGGTGAACCCCTCCCCATCTTAACTTGTGAAAGACTCAGTTTCAGGTGTAATACCTGCCTTCATCACCAGAGGTCAGCCTCACCTGAGTACTGATTTGCTTCCTAGTGACACCTTAACCTCTCTCACCTGCAGCTCATTAACCTCCCTTTATAAGGACCTTCACAAACACTGGATCTCTGTGAAGTATTGCCAGTTCATCTGTGTACCAAGCCTTGCTTCTTCACGTCTGTTGGATTTTGGATTGTCTGGACCTCTTTCTGAACTCTTTGACTCTGCTTTTTTAACTCCCTTTGGTACCTTTGCTGTGTTGTGATCTACTCTGTTGTTACTTTTTGGACTGTCTCTGATTCTGTTTTTTGTGATCTTGATACTGTGTTTTGAGTAAACAGGAATTATGGAGTCAAACCCATTTGGAGAGTCTTTATTACACTCAACCTCTCTGGGCTGCTTTTTTATATCCATATCATGTTACTGACCTGTAAAACCCATTCAGACCCATCTGGAGAGTCTTCATTACAGAATACTTCG